AAACACAGTTCAGGACAGGAACCCTATGAATTGGGGTGATTGAGGTATCTAAATTGAAAGAGATGAGTTTCCCCAAGAATTTACCTAAGCTGCCATCAAAGACGTCCTTTAACTGTTCGAGGAGCTTGTCGAGTTCGTCCTGCCGAATCTGATGGATTCCTCTGATTGAGAGTCCTAGAGGCTTGAACCACTCCACTCCAAGCAGGCTCGGACGGCTGTCCTTGATGATGGTGATGGGTAGGTCGCCCTTGAAACCGTGGTAGCTGATACTCAGTGAAGCTCTCCCCAGGACCCCGATGGGGTTTCCGCCAAAATCGACGAGCCTTGCGTGTAGCGGCTGCAGTTGGCTCTTTGAGATTTGCGGTTTCAGCTTTTTGAGCTGCTGCCAATCCATGATGGAGTAGATTGAGCCCGAATCTACTTCCATGGCACATGGAGTCCCTTCCACGTGCACAGTCACGATGAACTTTGCGGCATTGTGGTCATCGGTGTGGGCAATGGTGGTTTGGTGGACCGCTCTGCTTTGCGGGTACCTGTCTCCCTCGCACCTTGGTTGATAGGACCATCTAGATGTCCTCTGGTAATCGCGGTTTTCCAGCTTGGCTTTCTCCTGGATTGGTTCTGGAGCTCTGCAGGCCTCAGCGATGTGGCCTTTTCGCTGGCAACGGCAGCAGGTCGCATCTCTCCACCGGCATCTGGCTCTCACGTGGTCGCCATTTCAGCTGGCACAGCTCTCCCCTTGGCCGCCATTTTGTGTGGTCTCGCATCTAGGTGGTCTGGAGACTTTATGGACCACCATTTCCTCGTCCAACTCGGATCCCACGGGGGATTCCTCGGATGAGGTCTGGGGAGCTTCCTTGATTCTGTGGACTGCCTTGGCTCTCCACATCGCTGCCACTGCCACCTCTGATGTTTCTGCAGCTGTGGCCTCTTCAATCACGTCTTTAAGCGAGACCTTTCTCCTGCTCAGCAACTTTCTCTGCAGGGAGATGTCCCGCATCCCAAAGATGATGCGATCTCGGATGGCGTTGTCCACGTGATCGAACTCGCAGTTGGCAGCCAACTTCCGTAGTGCCGCCACGAAGTCCTTTATGGATTCACCCTCCTGTTGGTTCCATTGGCTGAAGGTGAATCTGTTCGCCATCAGTGTGCCAGTTGGTGCGTAGTGTTCCTGGAGAACGTCTTGGAGGTCGCTCCATGCCATGGTCTCGATGTCCTGAGGTGCCACGAGGTCGATGGCCATCTCTAGGACTGCCGATCCGCAATGTGCCAGGAACAAGGCTCGTTTGCAGTTGTCCTCCAGGTCTTCATAGCCGTTGCTGGTCAGGAATTGGTGGAACCTAATCATGTAGGCTTTCCACTTCTCCTGATCGGGGTTGAATGGTGCCAACGAGATTTGTGGCGCTGCCATGGTTCTCGTGCTATCAGCTCTAAGTGACTCCAGCTCAGTGACTTGCTCTGTTGAGTCCGGCTGGGTGGCGATCGTGCCACAAGGTTCTTCGCTGTGGTTCTTGAAATCCTTTGTCGCCAGTGTTAGATTGGCACAGGGAAAAGAATACGCGAGCAGCGAGAGGTCCGTTCAGCACTTTATTTAGGAGAATCAGAACTGCCGGCTGTGCTGCCGGGCTCGCCTTATAAAGGGAGCCGGCAGGCAAGCCGGCCAATGACAGATCTTCAAATCTCCCACCTGTGGACTAACCAATCCGGCAGGGATGCCCATATATGGACATAACACTAGACATACCCAATTCCTGCAACCATTCTTCATATGTTTTATCCTCCAGCCCCCTAATTATCTTTGTTGCCCTTCTCTGCACTTTCCAGAGTCTCTCTCTCTCTCTCTCTCTCTCTCTCTCTCTCTCTCTCTCTCTCTCTCTCTCTCTCTCTTTTATTGTGGAGACCAAAACTGGATGCAGTATTTCAAGTGTGATCTTACTAAGGCCTTATAAAGCTCTATTTGTGTGATCTTGATTCTATCCCTCTCTTAATGCAGGCTAGGACTGCACTGGCTTCTTTGGCAGCTGCCGTACACGGCTGGCTCATATTTAAGTGATTGTTCACCAGGATTCCAAGATGTCTCTTGCAATTACTGCTATCAAGCCAGGTACCACCTGTGCATTTGGGGTTTTTTTTTTTTGTCTATATGTAGAACTTTGCCAATTTTATCAACAAGTTCAGAGAACACGAAGGACCCTTCCTCCTCCTCCTCCTCCTCCTCCTCCTCCTCCTCCTCCTCCTCCTCTTCTTCTCTACTTCTAGCATTGATGATGTTACCTAGTTGCTAATGAAACATCTGCAAGAAAAGCGCCACACAGAGAGAACACAAGGACCCCAGTGGTCCTTGTCTCAGAGGGGCCCCTGGGTTCCTCCCCACCAAGGATTTGGAGCTGTTCACAGCACTCTGGACAGTCAATGGCTTCCCGGCTTCCCTAAAAGCCACCTGGACATCTCCCCGTCAGTAAGTGTGCATGAAAGGCAACCCCAATTCATGGCCTTGTAAAATATTGGCTCTCCAGAGTGGGCAGAGCTGCCTGCTGCCAAGGATGGAGTGGGGAGATCTACCTGGCAGGAGTCCTCCCCGTGGCCTTCTTCCAGGGGCCACCCTGACATGCCCCACAACCTTCAGGGAACACAAGATAAGCCTGTGGACACAACCAGGAATTCTGGGATTTGGCACCAGCAGGGTGAGGAAAGCAGGCTCAGAAGGTCTGGCCTTGGCCTCGAAGGCCGGGAGGTATATATTGCAAGCTCCGCCACAGAGGCTGGACCAGTAGAACTTCAACCATGAAGGGCCCCCTGGTCTGCTTCCTGCTCCTGGCAGTTACTTTTGCTACGGCAACTGAATGGGAGGCTGGTGAGTGCAGATTCGTTTCTTCCTGGGTGTAGGGGGGGGCATTGGAGGGGCACAAGGCAACCCCCCCCATTCCCTTAAATCTCCATCGCGATAACCTGGGAATCCACAGATCCACTCTGGAGAGAGTGCAGAGGAGAGCAACCAAGATGATCAGGGGTCTGGAGGCTTAAACATACAATGAACAGTTGCAGGTGTGTCTAGTCTAACAAAAAAAAGGATTAAGGGGTGACATGATAGCAGTGTTCAATATCTCAGGCGCTGCCACAAACAAGAGGGAGTCAAGCTATTCTCCAAAGCACCAGAAGGAAAGACAAGAAGCAATGGGTGGAAACTACCATAATCAAGGAGGGAAGCAACTTAGAGCTAAAGAGAAGTTTCCTGACAGTTAGAACAACTAATCAGTGGGACAACCTGCCTCCAGAAGTTATAAATGCTCCAACACTAGAGATTTTTAAGAAGAGATTGGACAACCATTTGTCTGAAATGGTATATGGCTTCCTGCCTGAGCAGGGGGTTAGACTAGAAGACCTCTAAGGTCCCTTTCAACTCTGTCATTCTAACTAATTATTATTATAGATATAGCTCCTTGAGCAGCCCAGAAGGTATCTTTTGGGCAGAAGCAGCCCAGGCGACCAACACTTGCTCCACATTTGTGGAATAACTGCCCTCCCCCCAGGAGACAGAATGTTGGAAGGGACCTTGGAGGTCTTCTAGTCCAAACCCCTGCTCAAGCAGGAGACCCTACAGACTGATGCTTCCATAGGACAATGTTTCCTTGGACAACTGAGAGTTTAGATGGTTGACAGCACAACAGAACAAAAGTTCCTGTTGGATCAGCCCAACGGCCCATCCAGTCCAGCTCTGGAGCCCCAGAGAACCCTCTGAAGGTACCTCAGATTGGGATTAAGAAACCTGCTTCCTCCACCATTAGATCGCCTGCATGATCAATAGCTACTAATCATCAGTGTAACGTTCCTTTCCTTGAGTTGCCTTTTGTCACATCAGTGTTGACAGCCATCTCTACAACTTCTGGGAGAGAACTCTTTAGCATCAGAAGGTATCTCCACCATTGGGTCCCATCTACTGATCCATTGGATTCTATCAGGATCATGGAGGAGACACATGGGGGGAGTGGGAGGTTCCTGCTCCTTCACTCATTTTATAGACCTAGAATATCTGGGAGGCTTTCTCGCCTCTTCTCCTAACTCCAGAACCCGGTGGGATCAACCGTTATTCTCAAATGTGGAGGGGACAGAAAGAACCAGTGGAATTCATGGCCACAAAATGGGAAGCTGGCCACCAGCTCCATTGAGTTGTGGACTGAAGTGCCAATGGTGCTTTTTCTAAAAGGCAACTGAACATTCTTGGATGTTCATCCAAGAAGCTTGGAAGGAAGCTTCTTGGATGAGAAGTGAAATGGAAAAACAAAGGAAATCCACTTGCCTTTTGGAAAAAGCACTTTTGGGACAACCATGACCTGGATGATGGAGAATCTCCATAGACATTGTGGACTGAAGAAACAGAAAGACTTACATTAATGACTAGGGGAGACAGACTACTAATTACACGTTGGTCTTGGATGACCAGCTACTGGGAACAATAGAGGGAGGGATGATGGTGGGCTTCCCAGAGACATCTGGGGAGCCCCTGTGGGCTCTGTTCCTTCCCTAGCAATTTAGCCCTCCCTTCCCCATGCAGTATGAGACTGGGCAGAGAGGGGGCTGGGCTGCTCCACTTTGCACAACTGGTGGGTGTGACACCAAGCCAAGAAGGAGGACAGGAGCCACAGGGTTTTCTCCTTCTGTTCCTCAGCTGAGCAAAGAGTCTGAGACAATGAGAGATACTTGTTGGTGGAGAGATGGAAAATAATGGCAGTGTGGATGCACGCAAGCGCCCCCCCCCCCACACACACACACCTGTTCCTACATCTCCTTGGTTCTTCCAATAGTCCTCCCTCATCAGATTTGTCTTTTGGAAGAGGAAGCGCCCCCACAGAGCAACGTTGGCCGTGGGGCAGGCTAGCTTTGGCCTTGGGGATTGGCACTTTTGTCCAATTGGTGGAGCAGCTTTTGACAGGCCAGCCTTAGAACCGTAGAGGACAAACTCCAGAGGGTGAAGGTCTCGTGTTTTGTCCCCCTCCTTCTAGATAACATTGTCCTCCGTGCAAAGGGACAGCAAGTGGAGCAACAGACCCCAGAACCACCAACGAACGACCCTTCTGGGCAGAAGCAACAGGGGAAAACTGGTAAGAGCTTTGCAGAGACCTGGTCCTCCTTGGGCAATTTGGTTGTGATCCAATCCTCATTTGTTCTCACAGCTGTTTCCACAGCAGGAGCAAACCAACCCACTTCTCCCTCTCTCCCTCTCCCTCTGAGGAGTCCTTGGAGCTCTCTGAGCTTGGTTGTTTTCTTGCAGACGTTTGATGACCCAGCTAAGTAACATCATCACCATTCCCTTTGGGTTGGTGGAGACAAGAGGGGGAGGAGAGTGGGGGGAGGAGGAGGAGGAGGAGGGGGGAGGAGGGCTGTAGATGCTCTCCTAGTTGGGTTGTTTTCTTGAAGACATTTCATTGCCTGACTAGGGAACATTTTCAGTGCTACGGGGGGGGGGGATTTGTGAAGAGGAGGAGGAGCGCTGCTTTGGCCAATGCTGACTGAGGTTGCTTCTCTTCCTCTTCAGGTCCCCCCACAAATGGCCAGTGCCCACCTACAATTCTAATTAATGCCACCGAGGTCTACTGTTCAGTGAATAGACGCTGCCCAGGGGATGAAAAATGCTGCCAAATTGGGAATACGGTGAAATGCGTCTACCCAAAAGGAGGTGGGTGAGCCCCTGTCCAATTTGGGGCAAGGCAGATGGAGGGTTGGGGGGGTGACAGTTTCAGAAGTGGAAGGAGGAGAGTCCGAAGGGATTTCCCCTCGTGTCCCAGGATCCGATTCTGCTCTTGCCAGGACTCTCCTTCCTGGGGAAGGGCAGAGTGCCACCCTCCCGGTGCTCCGGTGAAAGACCCCACAGGTAGGATTGTAGCACCCGTTCCGGTGCCACCTCTACAAATGCCAATTGGCTGGGATAGCAGTTGTGCCCACCGGGCAACCTGAGGGCCACGTTCAGAGCTACCTGTGGGAGACCCTAGAAGACTTTCTTGGCCTGAAGGGCCCACTCTGTGCCCACCCTTCTCTTCCAGTCAATCATGGGTACTGCCCCAGGCCGCAAGATCAGGCCATCTACAAGAAGCCCTGTGTAGGAGACCACCAGTGTGGATGGCACGAGAAATGCTGCAGGACCGGCGGCCAGAAGAAGTGCGTTGCGGCTGTGCCAGGTAGAATCTCTATGGGGCACGTGTCCCCTCTTCCCAGGTGGTTCTCTCACAGTGCAGGTAGGTGAGCCCTGCAAAAATGAGGGCCCTCCAACTTTGGGGGGTACCACCGCCCATTGGGGCATTCAAAGAAAATGGCTGCTGTTGGGGACAGAGTTGACCATTGCTGAAATGGCTGCCTCATGGAGAGAGAGAGCCCATCCAGGATCCACGGTGAGCCACGGTGGCACAATGGTTAGACTGCAGTACTGCAGGCGACTTCTGCTGGCTCTCGGCTGCCTGCTGCCAGCATTTCGGCAGTTTGAATCTCACCAGGCTCAAGGTTGACTCAGCCTTCCATCCTTCTGGGGTCAGTAAAATGAGGAGCCAGATTGTGGGGGGGCAATAGGCTGTCTCTGTAAACCGCTTAGAGAGGGCTGGAAAACACTGTAAAGTGATATATAAGTCTAGGAGCTAAGTGGGAAGGAAGGAAGGAAGGAAGGAAGGAAGGAAGGAAGGAAGGAAGGAAGGAAGGAAGGAAGGAAGGAAGGGGCAATTGGCTGTCTCTGTAAACTGCTTAGAGAGGGCTGGAAAGCACTGTAAAGTGGTATATAAGACTAAGAGCTAAGTGGGAAGGGAGGGAGGGAGGGAGGGAAGGAGGGAGGGAGGGAAGGAAGGAAGGAAGGAAGGAAGGAAGGAAGGAAGGAAGGAAGGAAGGAAGGAAGGGGCAATAGGCTGTCTCTGTAAACCGCTTAGAGAGGGCTGGAAAGCACTGTGAAGCGGTATATACGTCTCAAGTGCTATGGCTATCCTTCCTGCTAATCTTCTGGTGGGGTAGACATGTGACCCATCAAGCCACACACCCCAGGCTCAATTGCTGTGGAAACCCCTGAGCTCACCTGGAAATGAGGAGGAGGAGGAGGAAGCTGCCCCTCGGCTCTTCAAGATCCACCTTCCTCTTTAATTTAGTTTAGGCTCCGGTGAGTCAGTTGGGGAGGGAAGGAAGGAAAGCAGACCCAGAACCCTTGGAAGCAACCTAAGTGGCTTCTCATGGGCTGAGCGCCTGCGTGCAACAACCCCTTCCCCTTTGCTGCCCCCCAGTCCTGGCCTCGGTTGCTCCAGTGTGCTTAATCCATTCCCTCCCGTCTGGCTACCAGGGGGTCCTTGGTGCTCTCAGAGGTTGGTGGCTTTGACCCTCACCAGACCCATCCCAAGACCCTCGCCTGATGTGACCCTCCCATCCCAGGACCTACTGGCCACCCCGGGCCCTGATGAGCAGAGGAACACCGACACTGACCTCCCCTAAACTCCACTGAAGACGTCCCCTAGCCTGGTAACGAAACGTTCGGGAACCAACCCACGAGCTCCGCCCTCATCTGGGTGGCTTTCTCGCAGACGTTTCATTACCACACTAGGTAACATCATCAGTGCCTGCGGGAAATTCCCCGCGTTCAGGGCCTCTGCGGTTCCACTCTGAGCCACAAATGTTCTCTTCTGTCGGCATCCAGCTGCCCCCGGCCTTTGCCCCAAGAGGCGCCTTCCTCTGGGCTACACGCCCTGCAGAGACCAGTGCAACGATGACCGCAGGTGCAGCTCTGGGAAGAAGTGCTGCTTCCACGAGTGTGGCCTGAAGTGTGTGGACCCTGAAAGACCCCACCAGGAAGATCAGGACCAGGAACAAGATCAGGAGCAGAACCAGGATCAGAAGACAGGTGAGGAAGAGCTTGGCAAGGCTCCACAAGGCAACCACTGACTGGGTCTCTTGCAGTCCAATGGCTTCTCCAAAGGTCTCCAGCCTGTACACACACACACACACACACACACACACCTGGGTGGCCACCGTCTTCTCTCCGTCAGCTCCTCACCGCCTTGTTCCTTAGTCAGGCTTCAGGCTTCCTTGTGGTTGTGATGTTGCCAACCTTTCCTTGAACCAGGCCAGGGGCAATTGCAGGACGAGCCCCGTGCGTCATTTCTCCTCTTAGAATAACAGAGTTGGAAAGGACCTTGGAGGTCTTCTAGTCCAACCCCATACTCAAACAGGAGACCACATACCATTTCAGATTAGATGGTTGTCCGATCTCTTCTTAATCTCTTCCAGTGTTGGAGAATTCACAACTTCTGGTGGCAAGTTGTTCCACTGGTTAATTGTTCTAACTGTCAAGAAAATTCTCCTTAGTTCTAAGTTGCTTCTCTTCTCTTCACTGTGCTACTAACTTAACAACTGCAGTGTTTCACTTAACAAATGGGGCAAGGAAGGTCGTAGAATGGAGCAAAACTCACTTAAGAAATGTCTCAATTAACAAGAGAGGTTTTGGGCCCAGCCGTGGTTGTATTCCGTGATGGGACAAAGCAAGAGAGAGGAGCCCACAGGCTCAAGAAACAGGCAGAAGTGGAGAGGGAGGCTGGCTTTGCATTCTTGCTTGATGGCTGGAAGTTGGTTTTCGGAGGGTTGTCTGGGCGTAGAAAGTGGAGGAGCTGTTTTGTGTTGTGAAGGAGCCGAAGGACGGGAAGGCCCTGGAAGCCAAGCCCTTTGCAGGAGGAGTTGGTGGCGCAGAGGAAAAGCAACCAGGCAGGGCATCTCCTGCAGGCAGGATGAAAAAATGAGCCTGGCAGCTTTGGCCCCCCTGGATCTGAGGCTCTTTGTTCCCCTCTAGGGAAAGATGGAGGAGACACGAAGTTTCCCGGGGAGTCCAAGGGCGAATGTGACAGAGACCGAGATTGTCCCCCCCGGAAGAAGTGCTGCGCAGGAACCTGCAGGCGGGAATGCCAGCCACAAGGTAGGTGCCAGCTGAGGCAGGGCAGGAGAGCTCCAAGGGGCCTTGAAGGGGGCAGGAAGACCGGAAGGGGACAAGTCACCACGGTGAGCTCTATCACTTATAAGTTCCGTTTTATAAAGCCTTAGTAAGGCCACGCCTGGAATCCTGCATCCAGGTCCCCACATTACAAAAGAGATGTTGAGGCTTTGGAAAGAGCGCAGAGAAGAGCAAGAAAGACGATTAGGGGACTGGAGGCTGAAACATATGAAGAACAGTTGCAGGAACTGGATATGTCTAGTCTGATGAAAAGAAGGACCAGGGGAGACATGATAGCAGTCTTCCAGTATCTCAGGGGCTGCCCCAAAGAAGAGGGAGTCAAGCTCTTCTCCAAAGCACTTGAAGGCAGGACAAGAAGCAATGGGTGGAAACTCATCAAGGAGAGAAGCAACCTAGAACTAAGGAGAAATTTCCTGACAGTGAGAACAATTAACCAGTAGAACGACCTGCCTCCTGAAGTAGTGAATGCCCCAATACTGGGAGTTTTTAAGAAGAGGCTGGACAGCCGCTTATCTCAAATTGTGCAGGGTCTCCCACTTTAGTAGGGGGCTGGAGTAGATGACCTCCAATGCCCCTTCCAACTCTATTCTGATTGGATTGGTTAACTCGCCACAGCCAACTCTCCACAGGACAGCTCGGTGAGGGACCATTCAACAATTTAGTTTAATTATTTTAAATAGTTAAAAAATATATTTTGATTTTTTTTCATTCGCGTTTCGTTTTGTCCCTTCTTTGACAACTTTTCTTCAATGGTTCTATTCCACTATTTCTTCGATATCAGTGTACGTTGTGTCTGTGGAGAGTTGGCCGTGGTGAGTTTTGGGACCCCCTGTGCCCCCCTCCCCAGAAAGCAGGCCCCCGCCTCTCTCCCCTGCTGGAGCTGCTCAAACATCCACAGGTGTCAAGTTCTCCTTTTGTGCAAAAGCGCCCCCGTGTGGTGTGGCAAACAATAACAGAAGAACAGAGCTGGAAAAATGTCCCCAGAGATTCACGATCATCCAGATCTTAAATGTGCTTTTTTCTTCAAAAGACAACTGGGCTGTTTTTTTCTTTGAGGAAGAAGAAGAAGAAAACGTTTTGCTCCTCATGCAATTTTAAAATGTGTAGACTTCAACTCCCAGGGTGGCCTTCAACCCCCAGCACGGCTGGCTGAGGAATTCTGGGAACTGAAGTCCACATATCTTAAAGTTGATGAGGTGGAGAAACACTGCAAGGGCTCCTACTCAGCAAGTTGGGTTTTCCCCCACCGGAGGTCTTCTCCTGCTTTCCAGCCAAGCTAGTTTAGATGCCAGCTACTTGCCAGCCAGACGTCCCCTGGGCTTCTGAGAGTCACGTGACACATCCACCCCAAGACAGGGGCAGGAAGCCAGCAACTGGCAAAAGGGCACCACCGGGTGGGTGACGGGTCCCTTCCACAATGGCTGAGTTCTCCTGCCCTCCTGTGCCCACTTGAGGGTGGCGGCGCATCCAGGTGCAAACTTTTAACTCTCAGCCATCTACTCTGTTTCTCAGGTATCTGCCAGCTGCCGCAGAAGAAAGGCCCTTGCAAGGCGTATATGTCTCGCTGGTTCTACAACAGGCACAAGGGGAAATGCGAACATTTCATCTATGGAGGCTGCCCAGGGAACGCCAACAATTTCAAGACTCTGCAAGAATGTGACCTCCGCTGTGTCCTTCCAGGTGAGACCCCGTCAGAGGAGGGGAGGGGTGGTCCAGGTTAGGGTTAGGCTGTAAGCCAGGTGGGCTTTGTCTAGCAAGGCTATCTTGGGGGAAGAAAAAGGAAGGGAGGGAGGGAGGGAGGGAGGGAGGGAGGGAGGGAGGGAGGAAGGAAGGAAGGAAGGAAGGAAGGAAGGAAGGAAGGAAGGAAGGAAGGAAGGAGACTGAGAAAGGAGAAATGGTGAAGGAAAGAAGGGAAAGGATATTGTCACTCACAATACTACAAAGGCTGCAGTCTGTCAATCTGTCGTAGGCTTCAATTCACAAGACTTCAAAGAGAGAACTCAGAGAGTCGGATGGATAAGTCCATCACGTGGGAGAGGAGAGAGGAAAGGACAGAGTGGACCTCCTTCTATTTTCCTAACTCATCTTGAGTTTATTTACTCAGTTCTACTCAGAGATACAATTCTACCTAGGTTTTATGAGAACATATTAATTTTTCTCTTGAAAAAAACTTTAAAAAAAGAAAAAGCTTTTTGAGTGAGCCTAACGCAGGCCCTGCTGAATTCATGGATAATTTTCAAACAAAACAGAAAAGTTCCCCTTTTACTGACAGAATCCCATCCTCTCTCCCCTTCCAAAAAAACCCTTGCAGATATCAACAAGCCTGGCACGTGTCCCACCCCACTTCCTGCTGAGGATGCTGTTTCTTGTCGCAAATACTGCTCCAACGATGCCAGCTGCCCGGGCAGTGAGCGCTGCTGTGCCACTCCCTGTGGGAGGCAGGAATGTGAAATCCCACGAGAAAGTAAGTCTGGTTCCTGGACTGGGAGGGGGTGGGGGAGTGGGAACCAGGGGTCAGGATCGGAGGGCAGAGGTACCTGGTGCCAAGGAAAGCAGGGTCGTGCCAGAGCTGCAAGGTTCTTTGCCCAGCCATGAAACACCACTGGAGCTCAGAGGGAAGCCAGACCATGGTGGGCCCTCCTCCAAGACCACCAAGACTTGAACTTTCCAAGGAAGCTTTGCAGAAAGAGCTCGGCTCAGCTCCAGGGAGCCTCCCCAGAGGTTGCAGGAGGAGAGAAGGAGGCACGCGTGTCGGAGCTGCCAGAGGAGGGTTGTTTGGTGCCAACCTGCCCTGAGATGGCTTCCGTTGGGTAGATCAGCCCTACCGGAGGCTTCTCTACACAGCAGAACATTTGGTGGGCCGGGGAGTGCTGGGAAGGGTTCTCCTGCCACCTGGTGCCACCAGGCCAGAGAAGACCCTTCAGGATGTGGCAAAGACCTCCAACTCTTTGGGGGGTGTTAATGAGGTTGGAGGACTTTTCCCGGGGGGGGGGGGGGCTTGTTTGCAAAATCTCCCTCTTCCTCACCACTACGGATGCCCCTGGCAGGCTGAGTAAGGTCCTGCAACATTTGGAGGGGGCTTCTTCTTCTTCTTCTTCTTCTTCTTCTTCTTCTTCTTCTTCTTCTTCTTCTTCTTCTCTTCTTCTTCTTCTTCTTCTTCTTCTTCTTCTTCTTCTTCTTCTTCTAGGGCAGGGGTCCCCAACCCCAGGCTGTGGCCCACTAACAGGCCTCGAGCCTTTCGGAACCAGGCCCTGGAACAGGAAGTGGTGGGCGAGTGCAGGCGGGCTTGCTCGTTCCACACGTGGAACCATTCCACCCCACACACACACACACACACACACACACACACACACACACACCGCAGGTCCACAAAGCTGAAAAGGTTGGGGAACTCTGTCCTTAAGGTGTGAGCCCCACTCTGAAGGCCCTCTTCCATTCTGTGTTCCCTTTTTCTCCATAGATCTCCCAGGATACTGCCCAGTGCTGCTCCTCCCGCCCAGCACGGGGGATGTTTGCTTCCCCAACTGCACCAACGACTTGGACTGTAACCACGGTGTTAATTTTCCTTGGAAGAAGTGCTGCATCTTTGACGGCAGGAAGATATGCGTGGATGCTGTAGAAGGTGCCACTTCTTTCTTTTTTTCTTTCTTTCTTTCTTTCTTTCTTTCTTTCTTTCTTTTTTCTTTCTTCCTTCCTTCCTTCCTTCCTTTCTTTCTTTCTTTCTTTCTTTCTTTCTTCCTTCCTTCATTTATTTATTTCTGCTGGTTCATTCCTTCCTTCTCTCCCTCCCTCCTCTCCTAAGCAATGGACTTGTCCATCTGTGCCTCTCAGTTCTTTCTTTGAAGTCTCATGAATTTAAGTCTACAACAGACCAACAGACTGTAGCCTTTGTAGTACTGTGAGTGACGATAGCCTTTCCTTCACCATTTCTCCTTTCTCAGCCACTTTCCCTCCCTTCCCTCCTTCATTCCCTCCCTCCCTCCCTTTCTTTCTTCCTTCCTCTGATTCTTTTCTCTTCTCATTCCTTTCTCATTTCCTCCCTCCCTCCCTCCTTCTTTTTCTTCTTTCTTTCTGTCTTCCTGTGACTTTCTCTCTTTCTCTGTCTCTCTCTCTCTCTGTGTCTGTCTGTCTCTCTCTGTCTCTACTCACCCCAACAGTTCCAACACACACACACACACACACATACAACAGGGACAGATGGCAGGATCCTGCATGTATTCACACCATACACTCCGGCTCATTCCTAAATCAACCCATTTCCTCCACATGCACAACACCTGTGTCCTAAAGGGTGTGCACCGAATGTGAAGCCAAAAAGGTTCTTGCATAAGCTTAACATTAAACAAGCTGAACAGAGGGATGGGTTGCTTGGCCTTTGCCCATCCTGGTATGGCTCACACTGCCATCCCCCCAGGGCCTCAGTCCTTCTCACACACCAGGGTTTTAGGACGGATCCCTGGAATTCCTTGCTGGCCTACTCCAGGACCGAGCCCTGTACTGGGCTGTGGGTGGGAGGGGGTGGTGGTCTGGCCTGGCCTGACAGCAGTGGAGAAAGTACAAGGCTGTACCAGAGAGACACCTCTGCCATCTGAACCCGGGCACTGGGAAACTGCTCCCCCACCCTGCCTGTGGTGGAATATAGTCTGAATTCCCAGAAGGGAGGGGCTGCATTAGAGGGAGCAAAGAGGAAGGAAAATCTAGATAATTTGGTCACGAGGAAGAGACTTAATATAGCTCTTCCCTAGAGATTCACAGCGTATTATGAGCTGTGGTGGCACAGTGGTTAGAATGCAGTACTGCAGGCTCCTTCTGCTGACTGCCGGCTGCCTGCAGTTTGGCAAATCAAATCTCACCAGGCTCAAGGCTGACTCATCCTTCCGAGGTCAATAAAATGAAGATCCAGATTGTTGGGGAAAAGAGGCTGACTCTGTAAATTGCTTAGAGACGGCTGTAAAGCACTGTGAAGCGGTATATAAGTCTAAGTGCTATTGCTATTATCTATCATATGCAAGTAGTTGGCAAGTTTAGTCTGGCAAGATTCTGTCTGGAGGTGAGGAACCACCAAAGGAAACTGCTCTGAAGTAACTTTATGTCTCTTCATTAGTTCTTGGGACCTGACACTCCCTCTCATTCTAGAACACCCCGGCGTGTGTCCCAGGAGGGTCGAAGTGCAGACCTTGGTTCCCTGCAACAACACCTGCAATGATGACCACGACTGCCACCTGACCGAGAAGTGCTGCTTCACCGGCTGCAGCCGAGGCTGCCTGCCCTCAGGTGTGTCCAGGCCTCCTTCCACCACCTGCTTCCTTCACCCTCAGCTTTATAAGAGATGCAAATTAGTCTGAATGTTGTTTGTTCGGATATTTCTGAGTCAGTTCAAAATGCACGGACGATGTCTCCTCGAATGGTGATGAAACGTTTACAACCAAATCGCCAAGCTCAGAGCTCAACCAACAGCCTAACATTCCCCTTCCCAAACTTTTTTGCCAACTCTTCTGCTTTTTGAAGTTGATGCACCTTCAGGGAGCAGAAGGGAGGTGTCAGACCTGCCACAACTTAAACCTCTAAATAAAAAATGACCCTTAGCTCCATTTGTTAAGAAAGGTATAGTGTATCAGAAATCAAGCGAATTGCAATAGTGCAAAACCAGAACTGAAAATTGTATGCCAAAATCCCTAAAGTCTACTTTCCCCTCCCTCAACTGTCTCTCATTGCTCCCTCATGGTAACCAATCAGGTCCAGGCAGGATGTTTTCCTAATGGCCAGTCCAAGCGTAGTTTGGTATGTGGCCCCCTGCTTCTTCCAGTTGGGGGACCTTGAGGCAGCATCTCAAGGAGATACAGAATTTACTTTCATTTCCTGAAACCTTCCCCCCTTCATTTTGCCTCTCCACAGTTCATGGCAGTCTGTCACTACATATCAACGAAGTACAAGCAATCATAAGATGGCAGCTGACAGGACGTTCACTGCTCAAAAGAGAATTCCCACTGCTTCGCTTTTGAACTTGGAGAACATGGGGGTTCTTCCATGATGTAGTGGAATCACCGGCCAAAGGAGAGTGAAAGGGGTGGCCAGTTAAAAGGGGTGCAGTTAAGAGGCAGGCCAGCATGGGGGAGGAAATGTCATAGACCGGATTAGTAAAGCTTTATCCACCAGATCCTAAATGAATGCAACAAGCATGGAGAGATTCTCATAAAATGGGTGACCAACAATAAAGAAAGTGCCCAGGCCAATCTCTTTCGGAGCAGCCAGTCCAGGGGGCTCACCCCAACCTCAACAGGACATCTCCCATTGACCTTGGAAAATACCATGGAGCATTTATATCTGGTTCCCCCAGTCTGGTGCTTCCCGACACCCAGAATTCCCAGCCAGCACAAGGTTGTAGCTGAGAATGTTGTGCCTCCTGGTGCTGCAACCATGAAGAGACCAAGTGGGGGTTCCACCTTGGATAGGAAGAGGAAGAAGAAAGGAGTCCCTCCCTCACCTCTTGCTTGGGGTCAGTTGAAGGAGCTTGGTGGCCTTCTCGTTGTGTCTCCAGATAGCATAAGAAGGTCCCCTCCGGGGAGTCCTTGCCTACCTTCTGCCTACTCTTCCTCTTTATGAGGTCCAGGCACCTTCAGGAGGCAAAAGAGAGCTTCACCTTCTGCCCCTCCTCAAAGCAGGAGCTCCCATCCCTTCGCTTTTGAACAAGGAGAACATGGGAGTTCATGGAATCACCGGCCAAAGGAGAGGGGAGCAGTTAGAGAGGGGACAGTTAAGAGGCAGGCCAGCCTGGGGGTCACTCCATGGGAGGAAACATCATAGACCGGACTAGTAAAGCTTTATCTACCAGATCCTAAAGGAATGCAGCCTGCATGGAGAGATTCTTGTAAAATGGGTGACCAACAATAAAAAAAGTGCCCAGGCCAATCTGTTTCGGAGGCAGCCAGTCCAGGGGACTCACCCCAACCCCAACCCTTCTCTCCCATTCTATTGCCAAATGCTCCCTGGGTGGAGTTAAACGTGCCTCCTCTGGGGGAAAGATTTCCTTGTGGAAATTGCCTCCGGCTTTGGCAAGGCTTTCTCAGCTCAGCTCTTCTGCCTCAAGGAAGCCTCACATTGGGAAAGTCCCACAACGCCCCCCCCCCATCCCTCAGCACCATTTATATGCTCCTTCCTCTGCCTTTATTTTATTTTTATTTTATTTATTAGATTTTTATACCGCCCCCTCTCCCGAAGGACTCGGGCGGTGCACAGCCATAGTTAAAAACATACAATATAAACAATTAAAATACGTTTAAAACAGAATTAAATCTAAAATGGCTCCCCAATTTAAAATGCCTTACCCATACCCCTATAAAAAGACGAATTTAAAATTTAAAATTTTAAAATTTCCACATTTAAAAAGGGGGAAGATTTAGGCCAGGCCAGCTTGATAAAATAGAAAAGTCTTAAGTGCGCGGCGGAAGGTGCGCAGATCCGGGATCCTACGTATCTCCGGGGGAGCTCGTTCCAAATCGTAGGTGCCCCCACAGAGAAGGCTCTCCCCCTAGGGGCCGACAGCCGACATTGTTTGGCCGACGGCACCCGGAGGAGCCCCTCTCTATGGGAGCGTACTGGCCGGTGGGAGGCTATTGGTGGTAGCAGGCGGTCCCGTAAATAACCAGGTCCTGAGCCATGGAGCGCTTTAAAGGTGATAACCAGAACCTTGAAGCGCACTCGGAAGACCACCGGGAGCCAGTGCAGCTCGCGCAGGAGAGGTGTCACATGGGAACTCCATGTCGCTCCCATCACCACCCGCGCGGCTGCACTCTGCGCCAGTTGGAGCCTCCGAGTGCACCTCAAGGGGAGCCCCATGTAGAGAGCATTGCAGTAATCCAGACGAGAAGTAACGAGGGCATGAGTGACTGTGTGTAGGAGTCCCGATCTAGATAGGGACGCAACTGGCGGATCAGGCGAACCTGATGAAAATTCCCCGGACACGGCCGTCACATGCTCTTCTAGCGACAGCCGTGAATCCAGGAGGACGCCCAAGTTGCGAGCCCTATCCGTGGGGGCCAATGATTCGCCCCCAATAGTCAGCGATGGCATTAGCTGACTATATCGGGACGTCGGAAACCACAGCCACTCGGTCTTGGATGGGTTGAGCCTGAGCCTGTTCCTCCCCATCCAGATCCGTACGGCCTCCAGGCACTGGGACATCACTTCAAGGGCATCGTTGGGGTGATCCGGGGTGGAGATGTACAGCTGGTGTCGTCAGCGTACTGATGGTACTCCACCCCAAAACCACGGATGATCTCGCCCAGCGGCTTTACATAAATGTTGAACAACAGGGCGAGAGGACCGATCCCTGCGGCACCCCACATATGAGGGGCCTCGGGTCGACCTCTGCCCCCCTGTCAACACAGACTGCGACCGGTCGGAGAGAAAGGAGGAGAACCACCTTAGTACGGTGCCTCCCACCCCCAACTCTTCCAACCGGTGCAGCATGATACCATGGTCGATGGTATCAAAAGCCGCTGAGAGATCTAACAGGACCAGGACAGAGGAACAGCCCCTGTCCCGAGCCCCTCCAGAGATCATCAACCAACGCGACCAATGCCGTTTCCGTGCTGTATCCAGGCCTGAAACCCGACTGGAACGGATCCAGATACGACGCTTCATCCAGGTACTGGGGAAGCTGTCCCGCAACCACACTCTCAACAACCTTCGCCACAAAACGAAGGTTGGAGACTGGACGATAATTAGCCAATATTGCCGGGTCCAGGGAAGGCTTCTTGAGGAGGGGCCTCACCACCGCCTCCTTAAGGGTGGCGGGGAAGACACCCTCACCCAATGAAGCATTTATAATCCCCTGGAGCCAGCCTCGCGTCACCTCCCGGAAGCCAGCACTAACCAGGAGGGACACGGGTCCAACAAACATGTGGTCGCGTTCAATCTACCCAGAATCCTGTCCACGTCATCTGGGGTCACAGGATCAAACTCATCCCAGATAACAGTCTCAAGACCTGCCTCCGTCACTCTCGCTGGATCTACCCAGTCAGAGTCCAGACCTTCCCGAATCTGAGTGATTTTGTCATACAGATACTGAACAAAGTCCTCGGCTCTTCCCTCCAAGGGGTCCTCCCCCGCTTCCTGGTGGAGCAGGGAGCGGGTCACCCTAAACAGGGCGGCCGGGCGATTATCTGATGACGCAATAAGAGCAGCAAAATGCGTACATTTTGCTGCTTTTATCGCCACTAGGTAAGTCCTAATATGGGATCTAACCAGTGTCCGTCCGATTCAGAAAGACTAGCTCTCCAACTACTCTCTAGGCGTCTTTTCCGGCGCTTCATCTCCCTCAGCTCCTCGGTAAACCAAGGAGCAAGGCGAGATCCGCGCCGGGTCAGAGGCCGCAAAGGCACGACTCGATCCAGGGCCCCAGCGGCCGCCCTATCCCAGGCGGCCACTAGGTCTCCAGTCGAGGCGTGAGCCAGAACCTCAGGAATTGGCCCAAGCTCCGTCTGGAACCTATCAGGTTCCATCAGCGCCTGGGGCGGTACCATCTTATCGGTTCCGCCTCCCTGCAGCGGGGTGCCGCGTACGAAGGTCAAGGCAAAGGAGAGAGTGATCCGACCATGACAAGGGCTCGATGACTACATCCCCTATCTCAAGATCACTCAACCACTGTCCAGAGACAAAAAGCAAGTCCAGTGTGTTTCCCCCAGTGTGCGTAGGGCCATGAATTAGTTGGGTCAGATCCATGGCCGTCATGGAAGCCATGAACTCCTGAGCCACCTCAGACGTCTCGCCCACGGACGGCAGGTTGAAATCCCCCATGACCATAAGTCTGGGGGTATCAACCGCCACCGCAGCAATAACGTTGAGTAGCTCAGGCAGGGTTGCTGCCACGCGGCAGGGAGCCAGGTACGTGATCAGCAAGCCCATCTGAACCCCATGGCCCCACTTCACAAGGAGGGACTCACCCTAACTTGACCCAGATACCTGCTCCCTCCTGAGAGACCATGTGGGCCATGGTCCTTCTTGTGGGGGTGCTCCTCTCCTTCCTTGCTGACCTCAATGCTGCTGGTGGCGGAGGGATGGGGGTCAAAAGAGCCAGAATCCTCTGAACAGTGAGTAGCCCCTGGTGGAGAATGGACCTGGGAAGCCAGTCTGGCTGGGCTGAGACTCCTTTCTCCTCTGGGTGGGTTTCGGGCAACACCTCCCCTTCCCTGACTTCCCCTCCACAATAACTTAGGAATCCATGGCTCTTAAGCAGTCCAGAAAGCACTTTTGGGGCAGATGCAGTCCAGGGGCTTCAAAGCTTGTTCCACTTCTGTGGAAGAACTGTCCTCCTCCAGGAGACAAATAACAGAGTTGGAAGGGACCTTGGGAGTCTTCTACTCCAACCCCCTGCTCAAGCAGGAGACCCTACAGACTGAAGCTTCCAGAGGACTGGGCTTCCTCATACAAGTGAGAGTTTAGACGGTTGACAGAACTAAGGTCCCTGCTGGATCAGATCAAAGGCCCAACCGGTAGCCAGAGAACCCTCCGCAGGTATCTCAGACTAGGAAACCTGCTTCTCACACCGTTAAATGACTTGGGGACTGAAGGAACAAAAGGAGCTGCAGTAATGGCCAAGAGGGGCAGACTACTAATTACACACTGGCCTTGGACAACCACTGCTGAGGAACAATGTAGAGAGGAATCATGGTGGGCTTCCCAGAGATATTTGATGAGACCCTGTGGGGTCTTCCCCTTCCCGGGAAATTCAGGCCTGCCCTCCCCATGCTGTACGAACTGGGCAGAAAGTGGGCTGGGCTGCTCCATTTTGTGTGACTGCTGGGTGGGAAATCAAACCAAGAAGCAGGACGGGAAGAGACCAACCATGGTTTTACAGGGTATCTGGTTGTGCTCCATTTATTCCTCAGCTGGTGGGGGAGGCATTTTAGAGCAAAGGGTCTGGGACAATGTGAGATACTTGCTGGAGGAGGGAATGAAAACAAAGCAATGTGAATACACCCCCCCACACACACACATCTGTTCCTATGTCCCACCCCTTCTCCAAAGGGGTTCATCAGGCCAACTTTGGGGAAGAGGAATAGATTGTAGGTAGAGAAACGCTGCAGTAGATAAGATAGGAGGGACTCATATTCACCAAGCTAGGTCTTCCACCACCAGATTCCTCTGCTTTCCAGCCAACATAGATGCCAGCTACTTGCCAGTCTGATGTCTCCTGGACTTCTAAGAGATATGTTTCTCCCCAAGACAGAGCTGCGTGCTGCCACCAACTGGCAAAGGAGCAACCAGGGGTGGGTGACAGGGATCTAGGATGTTTAGGCGCTAAACCATGGCAAGGCCCATTTGTCTCCCAGCCAACCACCACCACTACTGAACCACAGCTAGCTTTCCTCCATGGCTGGCCCACGGCCATAGATTGTTGACCTCCAATGGCCCCATAGCCATTCACCCCCAGACCTATGTCTTGGCACATTCCCTGAAACATGGTTTGACCTGGGTGTTTCAGTCCACGGGACAAGTAGCCACCAGCCAGGGAGATTGCTAGGGCCATGGTGGGGGTGGGTATGATGGGCAGGGTGGCCACCACGGATCCCCAATGCCATTGATTCTGTTGCCTCTGGCATGCTCAAACACTCCAGATCCTGTAGGGACTCTCCAGCTGGGTGTAAAGGAGCCAGCACCCCACACACCTGCTGCCGTCAGCAGTGATACCCTGACCAGGTGAGTCACTGCCACCTCTGCCACAAAGCTGCATGTGGTGGGCAGGGGCAGATGGGTGACCAGGGATTTCTGAGAGGGTCTGGAATGGTCTGCACTGCCTCAGAAGTTCTCAATCGGGGTTGGAAGGGAGGGAGCAGGGGCAGGGTAGGACAGGCTAGGTGGGCAGCAGAGATTGCATCTCTGTATGTGTCTATGTGTGTGTCGCTGGATATGCATTTGTGTGTTTATGTGTGCATTTGTCTGTGTGTGTGTGTGTGTGTGTGTTGTGTGTGTGTGTGTGTGTGTCTTTTTATGTTTCACTGGGTATGTTCCTGTGTGTATCTGTGTATTTGTGTGTGTCTGTGTGTCTGTGTGTCTAAATGCATGCAGGGGATTCCCCTGCCTGACACTCATGGAAGGAAAATCCTGGATGATTATCTGTCCCTGCTCACCCACCTGCAGCTCTGCAGCAGCAGCGGTGATGACTCACCCGGTCTGGGCATTGCTGCTCGTGATGACAGGTGCGCAGGGTGCTGGCCTCTGTACACCTGACCAGACCCAGAGTAGAAGCCAGAGTGGGCCCAGGTAAGGAGAAGGAGGAGGAGGTGGCAAGCAGGTGGCAGCAGGACCCTCCCTGGCTCAGCCACGGGCATTTGAGTGCACTGGAGGCAGAAGAAGCACCGGCAGCATCAGGGACTCACCCCATGGTCCCCACAATCCTTTCTGCAGCATGGGAGGCAGCAGCAAGACTCTCCCTGGCTCAGCCCCAGGGCGTTTCAGTGCACTGGAGGTCACAGAAGCAGTGGCATCTGGGGCTCAATGGCCCCCGCCGCTGCCTGTCATCCCCATGCCCAACATTGCCCTAGCAACTGCCCTACTCTCTGCCCATCTTACACCACACCCCAAAGACTCTGCATTCACCCCTGCCCACCACCAGTTGCATTGGCAGCCAATCATGCACTGCATTCCCGAGGGTCCCTTCTGAGATGTTTCCCAGGCCCCAATTCCTTCTGTGGACTCACCTGCCTCTTATCCAACCATTGCCTCACCTGCAGCTTCTCCTCCTGTCCCCCAAGCCGTTCCCACAGGCCATTACAGACGCCAGCATTTCTGGCACTCATTCTGAGGCCACTTTTCCACATGACCCATTCAGTCCCCACAAGATCAGATCTCAGACCTTTCGTTCCATCACTCTAAGGCTTTCAGAGAAAGTGGCCCAGCCCACTTCCTCGAAGGAAGAGATTCTTTCTCTGTCCATCTCATTTTCCTTCTCTCCTGTACTCATCCCTTCCCTACAGAGGTTTGCAAACTCCCAGCAGATCCAGGTCGTTGTCAAGCATATTCACGACAATATTACTACAACTGGGAGAAGAGAAGGTGTGAAATATTTGTTTATAGATTGTGTGTGGCAATGACAATCGCTTCTCCACCAAACTGGAATGCCAAATGGTCTGTGATGGATTTGGTAAGGAACAAGAATACACATGCAATTGCTTATACACACAAATGTTGTGTCTGTGAAAAACAGCCCTACTCTCAACCCTAACCCCAGTCTCGCCATTAATCATTTCCCCTAAGGCGTCACCTACATCGTCCTCCAGTTCAGAAGGGAGCCGTTCTCATTATCCTTAGAGTCCTGAGATTGTGTCTCCAACTTCTCTGGGGACTGATTGTCCAGGGGCCTCTCGGTGTTGGGTAAAAACTGGGCCATTGTGGTTACCTGGATGAGCCCAATAGCAGGAAACTCTTCTGCTCAGTGTCACTCTCAGCTCTTTCCCCATTTTGCACAAGGCTTATGTGACACAACACCAAATGGCAGTAAGGGTGGAGACATCCTAATCAAGAGAGAGGCTCTGACTGTGTGATTGAAACCCTCCCCCCTTTTTTTAACTTGCATCACACAGACACCTAAGTAGGCAGGAGGAAGTCCTGTCATGGGGCCATGACTGCTGGAGGTGGTCTTCCTGGCTGGTGATGCGCTGGAGGGGGGCACCAAAGGAGTGAACCCACTCACTTGACCTGCTCATCAGCAAAGCCAGGATAAACTGAATGGAGGCAGAGGAGGGGTTGCCCATCGTCTCTGGCCAGGACATTTTTCTCCACCCTCAGAAGGGCCAGTGGGCAGCCCTTGACTCAGCAGGGGGAAAAGCCCAGCCTGGGGAGGAGGAGAAAGCAGAGGGACCCACTCAGGGCTGCCGGGGGTCTCACTTGTCTCTGGGACGCAGCTTGTGAGTTGCTGCCCCCTACCACAAGGCTAAGCCCCCTCCGCTCCGCTTAGCCAGGGCTTGGGAACAGGAGCAGAAGCCCCTCGGCCACCCACCACTCCTCTTTTTTCTTCACAGGGCAAATGCAGTCCCCTAAGGCCTGAGAGTCCCTGCTGCATCTCCAGTGAGGCACCACCGTCGTGCTCCCAAAATGGCTGCTGACTCCTTTTGGTGGTTGTTTCCTCTCTTCTCTGGAATAAAGGCATGACTTTCCCTGCAGACTCCGAGTGTGGTTCTTGACTGGGAGATCAACAGCCCAGCTAGTGTGGATTGTGCGGTCAACAAAGAGCAACCCAGGACGCCCAGTGCTCTTGCCTGGAGCCAGACCGTGACGGTACCAGGTTTCTATTTGCCACGTAAACACGGCAAAATAAGCAGCTATGGCTCCAGCAAGACAGCTTCCCTTCTGCTCAATCCTTCCTCCTTCTGGGTTCTCATTGGGGGCCTCTGGAGCAGGACTTTGACCCAGAAATGTAGGCTTCTCCATGCCACTGAATTGCAGCAAAGTAAAAGAAGCCATCAGGAAAGAAGTCCAGCAACTGCTATGTATCAGGTGCAAGCCCCATTCATACTCAAATCATATTCTGGCTCCTGTCAGAAGAATAATTTGGGTTCCAACTCAAGCCGGGGTTGCAGAAGAATAACTAAAAAGGAGATCCAGTCAGCTGTGAGGAAAGAGGAAATATTTATTCCTAAAAGCAAAACGGTTTGCCCGGTGGTGGAAGCATCTACGTGCTAAGGGACATGTGTGTGTGTGTGAGCTTGTGTGCATATGTATGTATTCTTGTGAACATACAGTTCTGCTGGGAGACTTCATTGAATTAACTCTATTGATAAGGTCTGTTTGCAGACCTTATCTTTTGATATGTGGATTAGGTCTGGGTGTCTCAAAGGCTTTTTCAGAGGCAACTGGACTTTCTGGTTGACCTGGATGACTAAGAATCTCCGTAGACATTGGGTCAGGATAACATTTTGGGGTTTGAGGAAGTTTGCTCATTTGAGTAACTTGGAGACACAGATTCTCACACCATTCTGTTCATGTTTTAAGGGAAGATGGAAACAGCCTAAAGGATAAAACATATTTGAATATAAACCTTCTCACACACGCCACTCTCCCCCAACCCCCATCCCCAATATGGGTGCTTGGGGGGCACCCTTCTCTGAGGGAAAGACCGATTCCACCTGTCCCAAAGGTGGTTCTTCGTTTTTCAAGACGCAACTGGACTTTCTGAGGTATTTTTCCTTTCCACCTGTCTCTTCTTTTCATGATGGACGGATCTGGGATCAGGCAGGTTGCAGCTGACAGTGTGGAAACCTTGTGTAGAAACATAGCATTCACCATCACCCCACCCCACCCCCCACACACAGAAGAATGAAATGTTTTGAGGAATATTTAAAAAGGGAGTGTCAGATATAAATGCCTTATTCTCCAATGTGTAAATAGTGTACAGACAGGGTATCAGGGGTTAACTTATTCTTCACTTCTTAATGTATTCATAATTCACCACTCCCACATATAGCTCCACCCATTGTATATATAAGGAGCTACCTACACCATTTCCCTTGCTTCTATCTGTGAATATTCAGTGAATATAGAATGCCTAATGTAAATAAAAGAATATATAGTTAAATCTTTAACTCTTGTTGATCTTATTGAGTCTGATCCTGAAAATATTGCAACAGGGAGGATAAAATATTTCCCCTAAAAGAGAAATAAAAACTCGTAAGGGAGACAAAAGCTCAGAGCCACAGCTCCCTCCCCCCAGCAGATATTTGGTGCCCATTGGAAAAGACTGGGCCATCCTATCTACAAGACAAAAGTCATTCAGCCTCAGGGTGAAGGGATTAAGACCCTCCAGGACATAATAGGATTAAACCTCTAACACATCGAGCTCACTACATCGTGCAATCTCCTAAGGACATTGCATCACCCTCAAACTTCCACCAAACCTAGGAGCTCAGGCAACCTACAGAGCCAGCTATGACCCCTACAACAGACAATAGAATACATGTTCTTGCACAGGAACAGGAACTTCAAGTGCAAAGCCCAAGAGAAGGTATAAATAGCCCGCCCCCCCCCTCTCAACTCCATGGGCAGCTACCCAGGTCCCATGTGGTTCTGCTTCACCATTAAACCATCTTTCCAATCAGCCTCCATGTTTCCAGAGTCTTTCTCTCCTGGTTTGGAACTGAACCCAGATGGACGTTTCTTCCCCCACTCACACCCCTTGTGTCTCCATAAGGGTTGGTGGTGGAGGTGCCCGTCTCTCTGGAGCCAGCGCTTGCTTGCATGCTGCCCAAGGAGACCCTCCCTCTGCAGGCTGGAGGGAGGGGAGGCCTCTGGTCTTAGCCCTCATCTGTGGCAATGTGCCAGGGGCCAGGAGGGTGGAGACAGTCCAGCAACGGCAGGTCCCGCTTCCCAGCCAGATTCGGAAGACAATGAATCTGAAGCCTGGCACAGATCCACCAGGTCCATGGAGCACAACCAAGTGGAACAAAATGTTCCTCACACCGTTGTGACACAAACTGTGCTGTTTGCGTTCTCACACCTGACCTCGGGAAACTGACATGGAAGTCAAGATTTGCGTTGAGATCTTGGAATGCATGTTTTCTTATGATTGACAGCAGTATTGTTCAACCCCGGCAGCTTTAAGATGCTGGCTGAGGAATTGTGGGAGTTGAATTCTGCCTACTCAACCACTTTTTGAGGTGCATGCACTTTTGGGGAGCAAAAGACAGGTTCACCTGTTGCCCCTCCCCAAAGCCAAAGCTCCCACCGCTTTGCTTTTGAACTTGGAGAACATAGGAGTTTCTCCACCTTCACCACTCCCTTCCTAGTATCCTCTGGAAAGGGGTCTCTGTCCATTCCCCACAGCTCAGGACTCTTCAGCCAGCCCAGTCTGTGTTGGATGTTGCCAGTCCAGGGGGTTCAGCCCAACCCCAACCTCACCCCCATCCTTCTAGTATGACCATTGCAATATGCACACATTACACAAGATTATTGCATTTCTGGAATCCACTGCTGTGTCCTTCCTCCTTCTGAGGTTGACTCTCCTGTCCAGAGGAAGCACTGCATTGGGAAAGTCCCACAAACCTGCAGTTAAACCGCCACCGGCCCCTCCTCCAGCTTTATATACTCCTACTGCCTTGGCCAAGAGACCTCATTCCTCCTGAGAGACCATGTGGGCCAACCTTCTTCTCGTTGGGGTGCTCCTCTCCTTCTCTGCTGACCTCCATGCTGCTGACCATGGAGATGGTGATGAAGAGAGCCTGAAACTTCTAAATAGTGAGTAGCCCCACAGAAAACCCCTGGTGGGAGATGGCCTGAGAAGCCGGTTTGGCTGGGCTGGGACTATTTTCTCTTCTGGGTTGCAGATTAACAGAGTTGGAAGAGACCTTGTAGGCCATCTAGTCCAACCCCCCCCCCACCCAGCAGGAGACCCTACAGCATTTCTAACAGATGGCAGTCCAGCCTCTTCTTCAAAGCCTCCAGTGATGAAGCTCCCACGACTTCTGAAGGCAACTTCTCTTCCATGGGTTGATTGTTCTCCCTGTCAGAAAACTTCTCCTTATTTCTAGGTTGAATCTCTCCTTGGTCAGTTTCCATCCATTGTTCCTTCTCTGGCCTTCAGGTGCTTTGGAAAACAGCTTGACCCCCTTCCTCCTCTCTGGGGCAGCCCCTCAGATATTGGAAGGCTGCTCTCAGGTCTCCCCTGGTGAA